GCAATGGGTGTTTCACTCCCCCACATTAGTTGTACATGCTCTTTTACCCAAGGACCCATTTATATCATTATCATAATCTTCATCAACTTGTCAAGATAATGAAAGACCCACTGAGTTCAGAGAAAGCCTCACATAATTCATGGAAATTTAAAGAACATAGATGTAAAAAGGGTTTGGGAGCAACAGATAAATAAGATCTGCACGGAGAACCATAAAGAAAGGGCTTTATAAGAGATTCTGCCTTGGAAAGGGTGGAGTTTGAACCGAGTTTTGAGGGGGAGAAGAGAAATCCTCTGAAATGGAGAAGATAAATTAGTAAACAAAACACAGAAAGACAAATCCAGGACAGAGAGCTAGAGGAAGAGCAGGTGAAGATAAACTCAGAGATGATGATCAAGGTCGGAGAGAAAGGAAAAGAAGCTCTTGAGCTCGCTTTCAGCAAATCCCACATCTACAAACACACAAGTCTAGGTTTTGGTGGAGGCAAGTTACTTATCGACTTTGACATGTACCTACCAGACTTGCTTAGCAATCAGACAAGGTTTATAATTACTTTGCCAAGACTTTCTCATGTGCCACAATTTGCAGCCATCTGCACACTGATGTCTGACCAACAGATTCCATTCCATCAATGATGCTCCATTAAATTAACCTCAGATGGCTGATATCACCATATCAGAATCTCATCCAATGTAGCTATGAGTTAATAAACCGACCTTCTGAAAAGCAAGATGTTCTCTCCTCTTAAATTATCTTAGGACTAGTATGGAATTTCAAGTTCCTCTAGTTCAACATCTTGTTCTTTCATATACTCACTCATTTAATAAATATTTATTGAAGACCTGCTCTATGCCAGATTAGGTCCCGGTTCTCATGGCTTTACAGTGTAGTTGGAGATGCAGGCATTGAATAATAAACTAATAAATTATTTCAAGTGTGGTAAGTGTTGAGAAGAAAATAAACATGGTAATATGATAGCATTACTGTGGAGGGGATGGGAGATTAGCTATCTCAGATGGGGCAGGGAGATCAGTGAAAGGTACTCTTTGAGGAGGTAACACTTGAACTGAGATTTGGAAGAAGATATGAAGCTTCATGAAGGGGAAGAGAAGATGGAGGAAGTTAAGGCAAAGAAAACAATATGTGCAAAGGCCCTGAGGTGGGAACAATAAAAATGTGTTTGACACAAGCAAGCAGTGAGAGAGAATGAGACTAACAGGAGCTGTGGAGGTGGGCAGGACCCACTATTGAAGTTAAAGAACTCACTCATGGCCATATCATTGTAAATGAGTAAGCAAAGAGGTGAAATGGATGTTACAGGTAAGTGCACACACAGTGGACTAGACAGAGGACACTGGGGAATAGTAATATTTAAGCAGTAGAGAGAAGAGTTGCCCACGAAATAGGCAGGGATCTCAAACTCAAATGCCTTCAGGGGCCAGGCAAGTATCGTAAACAAGTGAGGGAAGCCTCAGTAAAAGAAAGGGAGTGGTGGGAACCATAGTGACCTAGAGAATGAGGGACATGCCTAATAGCGTACAGACTTATTAAAAAATACTTTGCAAGCAAAATAAAAGACATATGAGAAGACAAGCAAACCCATGGACCATCAATATGCAACACTGAGCCAGAGGAAAAACAGGAGGGAGGCTGGGAATGAGAAAAATCAATACAGCGTGGTCTCATATAAGTCAAGGAAGAGTTATATTTTCATGAGGTAAACAAAAAAGAGTATGTTTTATTAGGCAGTAACCCAAATGCTGTAATACTAATAGCAATCACAGAAAAAACCTATACTATTTGTTACAGAACTTGTATAAACTAAAAATGGAGATAATGACCCAGTGGGCCATATTTGTAAAGACAGGAATCATAGAACCCTGTGGTCCATCCATGAACTGGACGTGGAAGTCCTCCGGAAGAATCATGCCCCTCCACTGTGTGCTTGCATGGATCCAGGAATGGGAAGCTCACTCCCTCACAAGGCACTCTAAGTATTTAGAAGTTTCTATCAATTTGACCTGTTGTTATGTGGAACCGATATCTGCCTCCTTGTAGCCTAATAGTTCCAGATCTGCCCTCTGGGGCCACACAGAACATATTTAATACCTTTCCACTTGCCAGCCCTTCAGATATTTAGAAACAAGGACCCTGTCACTGCCTTCTCCAGAAAAGTCTTCCCTTCTCCAGAAAAAATATCTCCACCTTCAACTACTCCCCAGATCACTGTCACCAGACTCTGCCATACTAATCACCTTTCTGTGAACCTTCTCCAGTCTGTCATTGTCCCTCTTAAAATAGTGCCCAGGGAGAACAGAACATTCCTAGCTGATTTGTAATCTAGGGCTTCTTTAGGCATCATTTTCTATTTCTGCAGTAGTGAGAATACAATTACATTTTATTGAGCTCCATCTCCCGCTGTCCCAGTTCCCCACTCCCCGCCCTCCAAGGCAGTCTGTTTGTTGTATTTCATGGGCTGATACATAATCTGGAGTGAATGCTCCCATCAGTATAAAGGATGTTGTCCCTCATCACCCCATCATTTCTGATTAAACTCACTCAGTCTAATGTACATTACGTCTTGTACCAATAAAGCCTGTGCAATGCTTCATGCTCCTCATGTCACTTTCTAGACATTATCTTATTATGTCCTCAAAATGGAGAAGTAGTTTTGTACAAAGAGGAAGATGAATCTGAGAATGAGAGGTTAAAGGTAGGGGGAAAACTGGAAATCTGACCCTTGAAAAGAGTACTGAATGGGAGCATCCAATGACCTGGCTTCGAATCTGGGTTCTCCATTTACCCACTTTTGCTAGCTTTTTAAAACCAAAATTAATAATGATAATAAGAACACAAACAGCTACCTATTAATAAGTGCTTAGTATGTACCAATCCCTGCAACAAGCTTTTCATGTACAGTATGTCATATATTACACACAATAATCTTTTAAATTGTATGTATTATTATCTCCATTTTAAAGATAAGAGAATTAAAACGCAGAGGTTAAGTGACTTGCCCAATGTCACACAATTACTAGGTGGCACTGGGATTTAAACCCAATTCTGCTTCTCTCCAAAGTTCAACTTCTTCATAGTCTTGTACCACAATCTCCCTTATAGGGTACTGTCTATATTATATATGACCTACCAGTTGATTGAAAACAAGAACTCTTCTAGTAATTACTTCTCTTGAGATTCTTCTCCAAATAGGCAGGGGGTAAGAAAATGTGCTGCCTCATGTGTGGGGCTGAGCTGCTGTGACAGCATGTACATAAGGGCAAAAGAGTAAGGGAGGAGAGAAAGGCCACACACCAACCCCAGCATCAGACATCATGTCTCAAACTGGACTGAAATGTAGCCCTGTGGCTTCTGTCACAAGTGCATTCGGAATACAAACAAGATTTCAAGGTTACAGTTCAGCCTAAGAAAACAGTGTTTTCAAGTACTTTTAATACCACTTTAGCAGTATTCACTTGTATATAAATCATGTGCTAATTTATTCATTAAAACAGCCTGTACTTGGCAACATTTTATTAACCTTAGTTAATACTAATAAGATCAGTACTTGTATTTTTTCAAAATGCATCTCTTTATAATTACTCCACAATTCTGACTTTCTCCAACTTGAACTAAGCCCTTACCAACTGCATTCCACATCTAATGAAAATGAGTTTAAATTACAATATTATAGTATATAGCTTGAGAAAGCATGAATTTTGGAGAAAGCCTATTCCCATACTTAGCCATGCATCAGAATCTTCTGAGGACTTACTTATGGTCTTATAATTACTGATTCCTAAGTGCCTCTGCCATCTACCGGATCAGAATCTCTAGGGATGGGACCTCCTGGGAACTGAGATTTGCAGCAATTGTTCCACAGCCCAGAACTTACGGACCAGTGACTAGAGTATTTCCACCCTACACAGGTCTACTGCAGCTCTTGGAAAACACAGGAAGCACAATATAGTGAAGGGTGTTCCAAAGGCATAATAACCAGTCACCTCAAAGGAGCCTCTGAGTTGCAGAAAAATTAGTTATAAGTCTTTTTATTAACTGCTGACCTCTTGTTCTTTATTTTCAGGGTCTGAGTAGCCATTAAGACGGTACCTCTCTCCCATTTGACACCTGTGGCAGACATTGCTAATCAATCACAGCACTTTTCTTGTTGTATCCAGAAACAACCTCAAAGCCCTTTCCAACCAAGAACTCCAGGGCACCACTGCCATCTGATCAGCTCTTACATGTGGGAACATATTTACCCTTCCCTGGCTAGAATAAGTAGTTAAAGTGAACTTATCTTATATTTTAGACCAGCCTTATCCTAGAGCATAGGCTATATACTCTACATAGTGCAGACAGACACCTGAAGGTTCTCATGTAGACAAGACCCCAGAAGCAGATCACCTGGCTCTTGTTGATTCATCTTTGCAGTGATTTCCCATTTATATCTTTAAATGGAAGCATCCAGAAATCAGCTAACTGCTAAAATGTTTATGATACATGGGTTACACTCATAGCATTCAAACTAACCTAGTTTCCGCTGACAATAATTCAAAGTTCCACTTTGAATAAATTCTATTAGGAGACACAAGCTGAGTTCCAAAGTGTTTTTAAAATTAAATGTAGTATTTGACTAAAAAATCATATATCAATCTGCTTGATTTCCATTGGTGGCACTATAGACTTTCTCCTATGGAGCTTCTGTGCCACACCTCCATGCAACTGTTTAGAGTCCTGGCAAATAACAGGGCAGAAATCACAAGGACACTTAGCTTCTGCCTGGTTTCATTTGAAAAAGAAAATCATTATAAATTCATTTGTCTTTGGTTCCCATAATGGCCATCCTTGACTCCTTGGACTCTACTGTCACTTCCCAAGTCACATTAGGTGGAATCCCATTTAAGACCATATATCCAGGGTGATACCTGGTTCATTAGGTTGATTTCATCACATCGATAGGCACTGTGACCAAACAATAAGATCAGAGAGAGCAGACCCACCTCCTCATAGATGCTGTCATTCCTGTCAAAGTCTCCAGCCTTCCTTGGAAGAACGTGGATGTGAACGTGCTGAAAATGTACAAGAAAAAAATAAAGCATGATTATCACCCCATATTTTCTAGACTTGACAGTGATGCTCACATGAAACCCAATTACTCCACATTGGTTCCTGCTGGATTATTTTTCAGAGGAAGATGATGTTCACCTGTTCACCTTCAGTAACTATGTCTGAAATCTGCAGGGAACAGAGAGACGCAAAACAAGAGAGAATGACTTGGCAGCATATATGAGAGTTTGAGTGAAGTACCAGAGTGTTTTAGGGGCTCTGTGGAATTATTCATAGTTGTCAGTCTTGGTTGTCTTTAGCCAGCACTTTGAAATGACAGCACATCTTAAAAGGTGACCATAGCAACTCTGAAACTGACAAGAAATAAGAATTGGCTAGCAGGGAACTATATAAGTAAAGAGCAAATGAGTGAGAGTAGGAAGGAAGATTGGCCTAATTACAGAATCAGGCCTTCAAATAATAATCATATAATAATAATATGAACAGTTTTCATTGATTGAGCTTTTACTATGATAAGAAAGCTCTGTGCTTGGCATTTATCTCATTTAATGCTCTGAATAATCCCACGAGGAAAGTTCTACTATGATCTTCATTTTACCGAGGAGAAAATCTACGCTCAGAGAGGTCACAGACACACAGGAAGTGCTGGAGTCAGCACAGGAAGCCAGAGCCTCCAGCTCTTGCCCCCACCTTCTCCATCAGCACATAACTGATTCTGTGAAGTTAATCTTTTAAACAACGCTTTTCTCTAGTCTACTATAGCACCCAGGTAATATACATAGCAATGCTATTACGTAGAGACCGTGAATCAAGGCACACAGCATATCTAATTCAATATATTCTTCAAGGCTAAACTGCCATTTGAGGGTTTTACTTTCCAAATAGCCTCTATTGTACCTAGGCTAAAGTTAAACCTGTTCCTGCCCTTGGGCTATGTTCCTGCGCTTATTACAAACCGTGCGAAGGACTGTGAAAATGAAAAGCCGAAATATGGAAAGGCAGACAAAGAATCAAACCTTGTCCCTGATCACACCCACCACTTTTTCATTATGGCATCAGGCTCCAAACCTCCAAAGGGCCTCTGGATGATGCGAAATTAAGCGTCCCTCTGGCTTTGCTGCGCAAGGAGGGAAAATGATATGCTTTTAACGCAGAGGCAGAGAACAAGGCGGTCCAAGGTGAATGAAGCAGAGAGGAGCTTCTCATCAGCCCCTGAGCACAGAGTCCCCAAGGAGTGACATGTTTTTGCCCGAATATTCTCCAGTCAATGATGAAGCCAGTCATGGATTCCTTAGCAACTGGAACAAGTGTATACTTAAGTCACAAAGACTATGTGAGCAAGGGAGAGAGGGAGGGAAGACAAACAGGGAAAAACAAATCACGAACTACCCATAGAACAAAATGCTTAGGAGAGAGCAGTACAGGACGGACCCAGGCTGAAATTTATTGAAGTCGACGGGCTGGTTGACTGAAAAGTCAGCACAGAAAAATTTCACACTTCAAGGAAATAGTCCACCGTTACAAGGAGACTTCACTTAATCTTTACTTCCAAAACCTGCTACTATCCTTTCCTCCTTTCTTCCTTTCCTCTTCCTTTCCTCGTTTCCTCCTTCTTTCCCTGCTTCCATCCATCCATCCATTCATCCATCCATCCATCTATCCATCCATCTATCATCTCCTTGTACTTTCTAATAATCAGGTATTCCAGATCAGTGTTCTGTAGTCAAACTGACTAAGGAAAATCCTAGACCTACCACTTACTAGCTGTGTGGCCTTGACTTATAGGCCTATAGCTCAGTATCCTCATCTATAATGGGGATTGCAACAGTTTCTACCTCACAGAGTTGTTAAGAGGATCAAATCTGCTAAGCATGAGCTTCACATGCTGCTTAGAACATAGTTAGCACTCAATACATATGGCAGCAGTAGTATTGCTCTTATCTTTTATTTATTTTTATTATCATTTTTTTTAAATCTGCAGACCAAGTAGAGATCACCTTCAGGGATTGGGTCCTGTATTAGTAGGGAAGACATTTAAGAAGCTCCTTGAATGAGACATGGTTCAAGTTTCTCTGTTGTTAAAGCTCGTTTCTGTTGCCTTGACTAGTGGTTCTCAAATTTAAGCAGCTACCTGGGGCTTGGTGAAACACAGATAACCAGGCCCCCAAAATCTGCATTTCTAACAAGTTTCCTGGTGATGCCAATGTTGCTGGTCCAGGGCCACACTTTCAGAACCACTGGCTTAGACTATCCATCTGGTTCCTCACCCCTCTCCTGCCAAATGGACACCAAGGTCACTCACTGTTTTGCCTGCCCTATTGCAGTATGGAGGACCTTTTAGTGAATGTTTCCCTGGCTTCCTGCACCCTAGTCACCCTCCATGCCTTGGCCTTAGGGATACACCTGTTGTTGTCCATGAATGACATATGGCTGGCTGTGAACTTGCATTAAGGGAACCTCCTGGGATCAGGCACATCCCATGCCTCCTTCGCTTTACCTTGCTTTCCTGGGTTTAGCATTCAGGGCTATTTCTATAGGCTCTGTTACCACTCAGTCCTGGAAATGCCACTCTTGATCATTGGTAACCACTTGAAATTCACTGTAACACTGATGACAGCAAACAGCTCACTGTATAGGTGATTTTCCCCAAGGGCAGAGATCTCAACCCAGCCTGATATCTTGACATAAATTCTTAAGTGACTGACTGATCACAAGATGTGGACAAACCACTCAACGTCTGAGAAAAGGGAATCACGATAAAGTCAGCTCAAAACCTCGCTGTTGTGAAGGAATTGCCATGGCTTCCAATAGAATGGCATTCTGATAAAAACCCATGAACGACACAGATGTGGATAATTTAACATAACTTGTTCTTAGTGAATTCATATTGTGCCTTGGTGATCACAACTTACTTTTCTAAGTGCTAACAAAACCTCTAATTAAGAAAGTGCTCCAAAATTTTGCTAAGGTTTATTTTTCACTAGGGTTTAAATTTTGCTAGGGTTTCAAGCAGTTTAGCTGCTTCAGTTGGAAGAGTATTTCAAAAAATCCATGACACATTCTATACCAAAAATGTTTTCATGGTCAAGTAAAATTTCACAATGCTTATTAGCATATTAAAGTATCTGAGAAGACCCACATAAAAGACACTTGCTGAAGTTTGTTCAATTAGCAATCCAGAAACTTAGAGAGTAAGTTCTAAAGTAGGGAGAAGAAAGAATTTCAAGAAGGAAGGTATAATCAACAGTCTCAGCATTGTTGAAAGCTTGAGTTGGTTTTAGTGAAATTGGGTGGATAGAAACTTAACTGAAAATATGCTCAACACTATTAGTCGTTAGTGAAATGTAAATCAAAATCACATTGAGATATCACTTCACATTCACTAGGATGGCAATAAAAAAAGACAATAACAAGTTTTGGTAAGAATATGGAGAATTGGAACCTTCTGCACTGTTGGTGGGAATGTAAAATGGTGCTACCGCATTGGAAAATAGTTTGTGAGTTCCTCAAAAAGTTAAACATACAATTACCATATGACCCAGAATTCCACTCCTAAGTATGTACCCAAGAGATATGAAAACATAAGTCTACAGAAAAAGTTATATATGAATATTTATGGCAGTATTACTCATAATAGCTAAACAGGGAAATAACCCAAATGCCCATGAAGTAATGAATGGATAAACAAAATATGGGATATCCAGACAATGGAATATGATTCAGCCATAAAAAGGAATGAAGTATTGCTAAGTAAAAGAATTACGCTAAGTGAATTATGCTAAGTGAAAGAAGCCAGACACAAAAGGCTGGATATTATACAATTCTATTTATATAAAATGTCCAGAATAGGCAAATTCATAGAGACAGAAAGAAAATTAGCAGTTGTCAGGGGGAACGGGGAGTGAATGCTAATGGGCATGAGGTTTCTTTTTGGGATGGTGAATATATTCTGGAATTAGATAGTCATGATGGTTGCATAATTTTGTGAATATACTAAAAAACACTGAAATGGGGGCTGGCCTGGTGGCTCAGGCGGTTAAGTGTACATGCTCCGCTTCGGCGGCCTGGGGTTCGCGGGTTCAGATCCCGGGCGTGCACTGATGCACCGCTTGGCAAGCCATGCTGTGGTGGTGTCCCATATAAAGTAGAGGAAGATGGGCACAGATGTTAGCTCAGGGCCAATCTTCCTCAGCAAAAAAAGAGGAGGATTGGCATCGGACGTTAGCTCAGGACTGATCTTCCTCACAAAAGAAGAAAACAAAACAAAACAAAAAAACACTGAACTGTACACTTTAAAAGAGTGAATTTTATCGTATGTGAATTGTATCTCAATGAAGCTATTATAAAAAAATGTGAACTGGATTTAAGAGAGAATGGAAGATGAAGAAAGATAAGCACAGACAACTTTTGCAAGGAAAAGGAATTTTGCAAAGAAATCAATGGTAGTAGCTGCAGAGGAGGGAGTAAATCACTTTTTGGAAAATACTGGTTTCAGCTTCCTCAGCCTACTAGTTTCTACAGTTATTATTGTTATGATTAGTAGTAGTAATTGTTGTTAACATTTATTGGAAGCTCACTGCATGCCAGTTCCTGGGCTGATTTACATCATTATTTCAATTAATCATTACAATACACCCAAGAGGCAGTTAATAAATGCATCACCATTTCCAAGTGACAAAATAGACCCAAAGAGGTTAAGCTACTTGCCCAGGATCCTGCAGGAAATGAGTGGGAGCTGAAATATGAACCTGAGTCTTGTTGTCAGAATTTGTTGTTTGAATTTGCTCTTTGCTACCAAATGACACCATCGCTCAGGAGGCCACCCTTGCAAATACTTATGCACAGTTACTAGCATAGAATCTTCTCACAGAAATGGTAGCTAATGTTATAATTGAGAATAACTTAAAAATGGGTACTATAGGGCCGGCCCCATGGCTTAGCGGTTAAGTGCGCGTGCTCCGCTGCTGGCGGCCGGGGTTTGGATCCCGGCACGCACCGATGC